TAATTCACCGAGTACGTGGGATAGATGCGACAAGTGCTGCGAGGGGGGAAAAGACGGTTACTCTGATATCGACCAAAGGTAATAGTATTCGTTTCAATGACACCACAATCTTGCGGTGATTTGCGTAAAGAAATCATTTCGAGTATTGTATTTTATTGTGGCAGTTTGTATATTCAGAATATCGTAATCTCCGATTTCGAATGTAATAAAAAATAAGAAAAAAATATATATATAATGAGAGAGAGAGAGAGAGAGAGAGAGAGAGAGAGAGAGAGAGAGAGAGAAACTGACCCCTGGTTATTGACTATAGTATTAGATTTAAAATATCAAAGAAGTTTAATTACAGAAAGTCGGCTGATAAAAGAGTGATATGTTTATTTTCTAGATATGCTCAATTAATAAATACAATTTATTTTGACAAATGAAATATACTTTCAATATTTAAAGTGCCTTTAAATTAAAATTACAATATAAATGCTATTGTTCGAAATATATGACGTTGTGTTTAGTGTTTTTATTCATATTTATGCAATTTAGTCATAATCACCATTTTATGAATTCATTTCAACAATTCATCGCCATTATCAGTCTATAAAAAAAAATATTGATTTAAATAATCGACTAAGAGACTTAATTGTAAATACAAAATCAAGTATTTACGTATAAATATGCATTTTTTTATTTTACTTATGAAACTGCCAACAGTAAATTTTTATAATTTAACTCTTACATAACACTATATACTTTTATAGATATTGGTCACTTATATAACTGATAAAGGTCTTTCTGATATGTTAGCATTGATACGTTAACATTAATACGTTAACCTCTTATTGATTAGCTAAAAATGAATATTATTTGTTGTATTGTAATAGTCTGAGAATTGTAAGTTTGAAAAGAAAAAGTCTTTAACATCAAATTTTAATATATTCCATAATATATTTTGAGAAATAAAATAATAATTAAGTAAAACGTTTGATTAATAAAGTTTGTCCATCTATTTCGTCTATTCATTATACGTAATTAAATTAATATTATTCTAAATACTTTTATTTATCTAATTTTCAAATATCTTATTTTATGTCTTTTAATTGCCATTATACGAAAGGATAAATAAGGAAATTTATTTACTATTTACGCGAATGTATTCTTACTGTGATATAAATTCGTTGAAAGTCAATGATCTAAAATGTAATTAAATTAAAAACTATTTAGATAAACTCTTGTATTCAGCTACAAAAGAATCATTATCAAATATTATAAAAATGGTAGGAAAAGAAATCAGACGAGAAGAAAGGAAAAAATTCTGTTCCGAAAGGCCAGTCATTTGAAAGTGTAGTAATATATACATGTGTGTGTGTGTGTGTGTGTGTGTGTGTGTGTGTGTGTGTGTCCAGTAAATCTCTTAATTTACTTTTCAATGGCTATTGTTAAAATTTTTTTATTAATATTATTAATATTACTAGTGCTGATAAAATTCACTTATATTTCTGTAATTGTCGACATATTTAACGTTTAATATTAATAATTTGTTTACTTAACTATCCCACCTATTACGATTATTGTAATCATAACAATTTTAATACGAATTCTTATTATCTATAACAAATATTACGCAAATATAGATTAGATTCTATTTTGATGAACGTTCGCCAACTCATCCAAATTTAACTTCAACTCTCTATCTCTCACTCTCTTTCTTTCTCGCTCGCTCGCTCGCTGGCTCTTTCTCTCTCTCTCTCTCTCTCTCTCTCTCTCGCTTTCGTTTGCGTGCTCTTAAAAAATTGTAGGTCGCATTTGTTAGAAAAGTAAGAAGAGTTGCCTAGGGCTCCGTAAAGTCTTTAAATCCGCCTTAACTTTTCGTCCTGAGATACCTCGTATAATCATAGAAAAACGCAAAAACGAAGAGAAAAGCGAGCTATCCTGATGAAGACTCTCAGGTGTATTTATAAGCCGCGCAAACACAAAAGTTGGCGACCCCCATTAGGTGTGTGTGTGTGTGTGTGTGTGTGCGTGCGTGCGTGTGCGCGTGTGCAGCTAAGCCTTACGCATTTCTTCGTCGGCATTTGTTCTCGGCCTAACATCGTAACGCGCGTGATTAATCGTCTTGTGGCGCTTAGGTGTGAATGAAAGTTAATAGGCAGTTCCTCCTGATGCTTGTTCGATATGACCAATCTTGTACTATTACTTTCATTGTGACATTTATTTTTCGTGAAAATTGAATTATCGATAGAGAAAGCTAAAGAGTGTATTTTGATGTATTCCTCAAAGAGTCAAGGGCATTGATGATAAGTGCAGCTTCACGTCATTGATGAAGAGCCTTCGTTATACTGCCGTATGTACACCACCGAGTACTTTCTTTTTTGTATTATGATCGTATCCGTTGTAGAATAAATTATTGACTTGTTGTAGATATATGTTTTTGTGTGGGACAGCTGCTACTCCTTTCGTTTCGTTAATTGTTTACATTATTAGTTGGAAAATATGAGTATTTCTTTATTAAAATTAAATTTATGCTGGTGATGCTTGGCTGGGCAAATTCAGAAGCATTAATAGCTGAATATTTAACAAATAAAAGTAACCTTCATTGTACAATCAAAAGGAACATTTTCATTTCCTGCATTTATCTATTGCTTAACTTACCCATTAATTTTTCCTATTATTTATTTTCAATAAAGTAGATCTAGTAATCCCTGGTACACAAATAAAATAAAACTTTCTTTTTAATAAAATCGTCTTATTATCCCGTAAGTTTGAAAGAATAATTAATTAAGTACGTTTAAATGTATTATAACGTTTGTAGGTTAGTGGAAAGATTAGGAGAACTTAAAATTTTATAATAATTATTCTTATCGTTTCTCCAATTTCGAATAATAATCGAAAATTCCACAAAATTTGTATCTTTATAATCCAAGTATAATATAAATAAAAAATCATTTTATTAGTTAATATATACATGTATATATATATATATATATATATATATATATATATATTTATTTATTTATTTATTTCCTTCCCAAAAAATTAATTTAGAAACATTTCAAAATATTTTCCTCATAAAAGACATTCTTACAAGATTCTTACTACATGTTGACTAATTAATATTTAATGAATCGTAAACATTCGTCATTTTAAATAGCAAATAAATAAACAAATATATGTAATAATAAAGAATAAATAAAAATATAAAATACCATGAATTTATAACAATGTAATTTCTGTAGTCACGTGTACTAAACAATTTTATATGAAATTTTGTATACAAAAATTTAAATCATCTTTTTTAAATGTATCCAGATATTAATAATAATAATATAAATGTAGTGTAATTTTGTTATAAATAATAAAGATTTGAAATTAATATTGATCTGTACAAATAATTACTTACGTATCGTATTGCTTTAATGTGTAAATTAATATGAAAACAGATATTCATTAAACAGTAGCTAGGCTATTAATCTTAAAAGAAAACATATCAAAGCTCCAACAACAATGCCGTTATTATTGATTCTAAAAACAAATATAAATAGATTTAATAATTGATCGTTACATAAATGATAAGTTGTTCAAACACAACGTATAATCTTAGAGAGGAACGATAAATAAACAGTGATTGACTAATTTATCTTCGGAGATATTTTATGATGAATCAATTTTATGAGCTCCACATTCCAATTTAAGCAAATGTTTAGAATAAATTCTGATATAGAGTAATGCAAATATTTGAATAAAAGGAGTAAAAGTAAACGAGTGAAAAATAGTGTAACTGTCGGATGGAGGGTACACAAATGTTAGTAAAAGTGATTGACATATAGAATGCATTTATTTACCAACACGTGCAAGGAGAAAATTATCGTATTACAATCGTATTGATCGAACGCGAGTGATTTAGTAATAAGATCGGCAATAATATTTTACTTTCATTGTTACAACTGAAAAATATCCATGCATTTACGCAAATGTGGATTACTGCAATGCCTTGCAATAATGACGCAATTTAATAAAATTCATGTTATACGTAAGCATTTCTCTCTCTCTCTCTCTCTCTCTCTCTCTCTCTCTCTCTCTCTCTCTGTGTGTGTGTGTGTTTGTGTACGTGTGTTCGCGCATATACTACAAATATGTTAAAATGTTAGTATACAAGATTGGTTAGTAGATATCAGTATAAAAAAACAATGTTTTTTGCCAATAAGCAACAATAGGGAATTACTTTCCAAGTGAAAAAAAAAGTTTTTCGAATTACTAGCGTTTTGTATAATGCTATTAGCAGAGTTAAAATTTATTGCGTATATAATGTACGGGAAGCTGGTTTTAAAATTTTTACACGCTTAAAATTGATGTTGCTTTTTGGAAATTGCAGAAAAACGTGACAATGCAATATTTATAAGTTGATATAAGCCGATAATGCATTTAATTAACGAGCGCCAATTACATTACAACGAAATCATTATTGGGTTAGCAAAAATAAATGAAGATTACTAAATTTAAATAGTAAAAGATTATTTAAAATTTAACACTTTTTTTTCGTTGCGGATGCACTTGGTAAAGTGTACGCAATTATGGTAAAAAAATAAAATGGGTCGTGAAGATTTATGAAACGTATCAAATTTTCAAGAATGGTAAATCTGTTACTTTCTTATTATTTGAGTGGTAATATGAATAATTGGATTTTAAATAACATTGTGTATTTAAATTCGCAATGTAATTGTAAGTAAAATCTTATTTGCATATTTTCATAATGAAAAAAAATTCTCCATTGATAAAAATTTCAAATGCGACAAACTTATTAAATAAAAAATGGTATATAATTGCAAGTACGCCTTTACTATTATAAATAAATTTATCCGTAGTTGCCGCGGCGAGAAAATCTCGATAAGAAAATTGGAAAACTTATTCGAATATAGACGTAATGGCAGATAATTGGAGAGCCACTTGTTGCAATTTTTTTCCTAGCATTTCTCCCCTAACATTTGCATCTGTAATTCTGTTCTAGGTTACCGACGAGATTACTTTTCAGTGTCTTAGAAAAACATAAAAATCGAATGACAATGACAATGTTGAACGGCGAAAGTTCGGATTTAGCATTCATCGAATTGAAGACCGACAATCCGTACGATCTATTTAAAATTTGGTACAAAGAAGCCTGCACATTCTCCACGGGCATGCCGAATGCATTTTGTTTAGCAACAATGTCAAAGTACACAGTATATATATATATATATATATATATATATTATGGCAGATAAGAGATGGAGATTGAGATTAAATTATGGCGAATGAGTCTGTAAATTTCTTGTTATTTGTTCTTGGTTTGGAAGTATGGCAGTGGAATTAAATAATATTTCCTTGAAGATTAAATGCTTGAAGATTTATTGAATAATTATCGCGCTAAATTATTTTTGAAATTAAAAGTACGTGTAAATTTATAATCAATTAAGGCATTATAAGAACAAGGAACTTGAAATTTAATAGTCTCGCCTTAAAATGTTCAGATTTTTTAAGAATTTTGTAACCAATTTTTTTTTGTTTGTTTTTTTTTGTTTTTTTTTTTTTGTTTTTGTTTATATTTTAGGGATATGAAAGTTAGCGCGAGACATTTGATATTAAGGAAACTTGAAGCTGATGGTTTTGTCATTTTTACTGATAATCGTAGCAGAAAATCGAAAGAATTGGTAAGTAATGGACGATTGATTGTCAACTAAAAATTAAGAGCGATATTTAGAAATGAAATAGAATCATCAATCTCTTGATGTACTATAGCTGAATAATGGTTAGTTTCGCGGGTTTAATTTATTACGTATTTACACTAATAAGTAATCGTCATTCCCATATTAAACAAAGAAAAAACAAAAAACAAAAAATTTAAAAAAAAGTATAAGATATAAGAGAAAAAGACAAAATGGGAGAATGAAAGAAAGCAAACTGTTGACTAAGATTAATCAGTTACTATTGAATAAGTGTCGTAAATCATAAATCGAGCGATTTTTATGGTAATATTCGTATGATTGTTTTATTTTATTTAATGGTCCCCCCCCCCTCCCCGCTTGCCGCCCTCTCCCCGGACAAACGCGAGAATGAGCACGAATTGGTAGTAAATTTAAAATAATGCAATTAATTCTGTATTTGGAGAACAAACAAGTAAAGAAAACGGCTGATATCAACATATTATTTGTGATATCAACATATTATCTGATATCAACATATTATTTGTGTTTACAAAGACAGAAGTACCAGAAGCGGCAATGTGCTTTTTGTGGTCCTACATTGATGACAAAAATCAACATATTTCTCGACAAGTGAGTAATATTTTTTTCTTTTCTCTTTTTAAACGGGACTGCAATATTTAATCTTCTTTAGCCTAAGTAACAACTTCATCGAGCAGATAATTATAAATTATTTGCTGTATAATTTTTACTTTAAAATTTGCAAAGCCAAGTTTTTACGTAATTTTCATGATTTTCATCGTCTTAATTTTATATTTAATAAATGATGTCGCGTCTAATTTGCAAAAACTCATGGGTTTCAGCAATTTTAAAATGTCAGCCAAATATTTATATTATACTTAGTTGCGGAAAGCGCGTAAAATATTCATGGGAGGAGCAGTTCAAGTGGTGGTTTTTTTTTTTTTTTTTTTTTTTTTTTTTTTTTTTTCATTACACTAAATCGTTCGCAATTATAAGACGCACATTATAAGACTCGATACAGGCGCATTAAGAAAGTAAAAGGCCACGACGTAAGCCAAGAAAAATCCACTTTGGGAAATTGTCGGCATGAGTCTTTAAGTTGTAAAAAGCTCATGAAGCTCCTTACGATTGTAGGATATTAATCAATATCATTGAAACTCAAAAGAGTCGACCGAGAGTAATAAAATATAATAACGCGATTTGCGATAAGGTCAGAATAGAGGGAGAGATGGTTGTATTGGAGAAGGAGAGCTACGAGGATCTGTACGAGAAGGACAAACTTTTCTGTAAAATCCGGTCTTATATCTGCCAGCAAGATCAGGAGGTGAACTGGAATGACCTGAAAGCACGACACGATCAATTACTGAACGAGGTTCGGATAAATAAGAAAAGCTTGCCGATGCCAGACCATTTGTGAGTGTATTTTTGTCTTTCACGTGTATGGATAAGATTTATCTCGGCGGAAAAGGGGAGAATGGTTTTGCCAGGTATTGCAATTCATTTCCGTTTTACAAACGAATTTTAGCTCCTGGCCGTCTAATCGCAGTTGATAAACATCTTTAATTTTACAAGTAAGCCGTGTGCCCTTGTAAGTCATTGCCATTAAAACAGATGAGCTTCGTTCCCAATATCGGTAATTAGTATGTCCGGCCCGTAAAATCACAAGTTTTAATACCCTAATTAAAGCGAAGGAGCGAATTAGAATTGGAATTACCATTGCCCTTTCAATTCAGAGTCTGCTCGAGTGACTCCCTAGTCCAGCTCAAGGGCATGAGCTTTCGAAGGAAGGCTATAAAGACACTTTATCATCGAGTACGTTGCTCGAGGCCCTAAGTTCGGCACCCAAGAGCAGAAAATGACGGCATTTAAATAACAAATTGCCCGCCTCCGACACTCGGCTCGTGTCCCGATGACGCAACCATAGACTCGTGCATTAATCAGACGGTCTATCGTCAACGAAAGCAGATCGACCGGGATTTAAAATTCAATGCACTCGGAGTCGGATCCTTTACGAGAATTATGCACGAGGTGCTCGCGCCATCTCCACCATTGTATGGCTCTCCTTTCTCTCTCTATCTCTCTCTCTCTCTCTCTCTCTCTCTCTCTCTCTCTCACATCCATTGTGCAAGCGCCCCTACAAACAATGCTTGTGTCCTTCTTATCGGCCATTGATATGTACAAAAGTGCAAGTTACTCGTGACTTAGGGATCCGTGAATAATGCGGACGATCGCGGATGATCGGCCTTTTGCAGGGGATTCTGAAGGACCATAAAAGCCCGGATAAAAGAGGCGTCTGTGCGTACGGATGTGATATTTCTATGCCTAAAGAATCCCCACGGATTGGATTGTTCGTGCGCGTTATTGTTTCGTCATTCATCTGGACCACATTAATAGAGAAGGCGGATTAATTTTATAACGCACCCTTGCTGAATCCTTTACTACTGCTTGATTTTTATGGTCCATGTGTCCGCGCGCACACACGCATACACACACACACACACACACACACACAAACACACACACACACACACACACACACATATATATATATATATATATATATATTATGTATATAATATACATAAAAGAGCTGTTAATAAAATTAAATTGAAAATTCCTTTCGACACTATTATCAGTTCGAACTTTCCATACTTGTGAAATATCAAACGATCTTTATTTCCAGTCCTTCAATTAAACTTTTTAACCAATCTAGGATGATCTTGGAGCCTCGTATATATTCGCCGCTGTCGGAGGATAAGACATAATTACCACCATAAAATGTCTCTATCTTATTTTAAACTTTTTATGTTTTCTCTATGGATGAATATGTTCATTGATCGAATTCAATTATCAATTAATTAGTGTTTATATGAATCGCAACCTGGCCTGAAAAGACAGCAATTGCAAAAATAAAGTGCACTTTATTTACAATCACGGTCTATTATAATTAATAAATAATTAAAAATAAAGAGAGGAGAAACGGAAAAGTATAAATAAATCAAAGCCTTAAAAGGGAATGAAGTGTAATTTTTCAACGACGGCAATAACGCTTATAAAAATTTCTTTAACTTATTGCGCGCACGTGCAAATGTCATGTAAAATCCTCTATTTTTATTTAGTCGCAATTTCAAATGGACAGTTGCTAATGTTCGTTTATAAAAAATCTCTTCTGCTAAAACAGTCGTTGATACGACTGTTGTTGATGCATCTATTATGTCATTTTTATGTATCGTAATACGGTAACGAACGCTTAATAAAAGAAATTTTGTTTTGTTGCAGCATTGGCTATAAAATGATGCCAACGTCAATTGAGTATTACTATGCAAGAGACAACTTGATCGGAGACAGAATTCTGTTTGAAAAGTCAAGTACGTCAAGCTCATGGAAGCATAAAAGAATCGCTGCCTAAAGTCATCATTACATACTGAGTTACTGAGTTATACAAAACTAAGCCATTTTTCAATTTCAATTACTGGCTACTATGAATTATCTCATTTTTTTTGTTTTTTTTTTGTTTTTTGTTTTTGTTTTTTTTTTTTTTTTTGGTTTTGGTTTTTTTATTTATCCGCTGTACATTTTGTACTCTTTATGTCGAATATCAACAACTTCTATTGTATACAACTTTACACAATAAAATAGTTTTCTTCTCCAGATAAAATATAACTTATTTCATTATTAATATTGATTTTGCAAACAACGATAATTATTTAATGTTTTAATACGAAAATATTTCCGATATTTTCTTTCAAAAGCTCGAACATTCTCGTTTCATATATATTATTATTCATTAATATTAAATAGGATCATCTGTAACACTTTTATTAAACGAGATTAAATGAAATATTTAATATAATTTTTTCGCATAGCTACGATCGAATATTATGCATATATCTTTTTAATAAACCGTATAATGTAAATATATTAATTTAATATTTTTAGCATCACTCGTTGAATAATAAAATTATACACAATGTCGATAATATTAATAAGCATAAGGAGAACAAATGTCTAGATAACAATTTAATGCTCCCGAGAAAGATAGTCTATTTTCTTATTATTGTAATATCCATGCGCGTGGCTTTGTTTATTATTGAGAATTGAAATTCTCGAATTTTCTTCTCGACCTATGTTTTTATATCGAAAGTGGCACATTCCAGTTATTTATCTCGTTCTTTACCTAATACTCCACGTTTATTTGCACGATATCTCATTAATTAACAAAATATATAGTGAACAAAAAGCTTTCGTAATAATTTAACTTATATATATATATATATATGTATATATATGTATATATATGTATATATAGAATATCACGATTACTTTCTTTGCTTCAATTTCAAACAATTTCATAAGCGTATCGATTGACAATTAGATAAGCTCTCTTCTCATACCCATATTGTCGATGGACTACAACATAAATCGTTATTCTATAAATCATTGACCATTAAAAGAAATTATTAGATTAATGAAGCTCTCTGTATTAATTTTTCAAAGTAATTTACTATTATAGACACGGGGCTTTATCTAATGACGCATTAACGGACTTCGCGGCAAAGTGAATTTAGCGTTTTCATAAATGAAAGTTTGATAGTGACAATTGATCGTTATTCGATCGCAAGACTTGCCAGTACGAAGTAGATAGTACATTAGTAGATAGTAGATAGAAACTTCGATGACTAATATTGCCTCGACAATTGTCTCGAATTTATAAATCAAGCGGTCTATTATTAAAGGTAAGCGTGAAATCACCTGCCTCTAATTCGGGATATAATTATTATTCTCCAATTAGCAAAAGTGCAGATTCATTTATTCATTCATTCACGCAGACGGCATTAGCTACCTACGTTTAGCCAGATACTTCTTATGTTGATTCCACGTTTCTCCTTATTTTTTCTATACGGCTTAAGAGGCGACGAGTTAAATGACAAAATATATCATTAATTTGGCCAATTGATTGACGGGGATATTATGTTTTATCATTGCTCGAGGACAAAGTATTCGGCATCGAACGCATTTACATTTGCTTCTAATTTTAAGTGCGAAAAACTTTCATGTGCATCAATAATGCTTAGTACTTGAATCATTAATCTTACTCGGTGTTTCGCTTTCTTCGCGTCATATTTCTCAAGATTATTCGATTTATGTTATAATTTCAATTAAAAATTCAAAGGATATGATATTAAAGCTCAATTAAGTGTCATTTGCACTTGCTGCAAAATATGCTATTATTATACACTAATCAAGAAGAGATTTTGTAAGCTTTATTGGGGAAATATTTTACAGCTTCACCAGCCTCGCCAAATCTAATTATTATGAGCTACTTGTACTAAAAAAAATTTTGAAAATTATTTATGCTACGTTACCACTTTTATTCGATTTTTCATAATATGAAAAAATTCTAAGCATCGTCTACAATTTAGCAAGCAATTGCTTTACAAAAAAAAAAAAAAAAAAAAAAAAAAAAAAAAAATAAAATTTTATTTAGATAAACATCTTCTACGACTCAGATTTATTTATTTATTAATTCATATTTATGGTGATTTAAAACAAGCCTGAGATTTTTTAACAAAACTTCAATAAAATATTTATACACAAAGTTAATATCGTATCACAATAGAAGAATTTTCCTTTTGATTTAATCACCGAGTTTGAACTTTCATTCCTTGCACGGCCAATACCATTAATATTTATACGCACTGACTGTGCTAATTAAATATTTTTCTTTGCTTATGTTTTTCAACGGAAATATTGCTTTGTAATTATTCAAAATTTATTTATACGCACTCGGAAATTGTAAAAATTTCTTACCTGAAAAATCTTATCTTATTTTATATTGACTAATAAGTCTCGATAAATATTATACATAATGTTTTTCAAATGTAATAAATATAATTATTTTCAATAAAAGTATTATTTAAAATTTAATTAAAAATTTCTTTCGTCGTCTATTGTATATATAAAGTCAAATGTTCAAACTATTTGAGGCAATGTCATGCTTACGTTATTTTCCTTCACTTATCATTGCTATGTTATTTATAAATTTAAATTTTAAATTAGTTTAACATTTAATTGACAGCTAATAATTAAATTTTCATATTAGTATTCTTGTTATTACGAGTATTTTTTTAATTAGAAATATTTCACAAGAATTTATGTTAAATTAGGAAAACTGAATAATAGTTTCAATATTAGATAGTAATTGATAATGAATATTTAATTAACCATGCATATTGTATCTCAATTTACTCCACGTATACTTCGTCTATTTAGAATGATAGAATATATTATTTGACACATTTCTAATCGATATTTCATGTTATTAGATTAATAAAGTAAAACATATATTTTGGAAATTGTGGATGAAAATAGAACGATAAAAATTCTAAAAATTAAGCACGTGTAATATTAAAAATTTTCTTTTTTAATATTGTTCCAATAATAATTAGATGGAATTACATAAATTTTATTAAGTGATTTAACAAGCGCGTAATAATAGTTGAATTGCAGAGATTGTTTGTTTCACATAAATGTATTCTCGTATCATATATAAATTAGTGGGCAATGATGTTAATATTATATTAATTGTCAATGATGTAGTAACTATTGGTACTTTCGTGAAATTAAAATAAAATTTTATTTAAAAAATTTTTTTTTATAATTCATATCTTCTTATTATATGTTATTTAATAATGTGTTATAAAAATTGATTCTATACTAGTTAAATAAAATTGGTGTTCTTAACAATTCAAATATAAAGATATAAAGAAAAATAATATTTCAATAATATAAGAACACCTAAGTAAAATCTAATAACAATAATAAGTATTAATAATACCTTATCGATAAACTAAGATAATACGACAACATAGTTAAATAAAAATATTTACAGAAAGAATATAATAAATGACATTTTTTTGCATTATAATATTTTAATTAATAATCTTTTCTACATTGGACATTAAAAGATTTACTAAGTTTATGTATTATTTTGTTTGTTTTTTTTTTGTTTTTTTTTTTTTTTTAATGAAATTGTCATTAATTTTATATTAAATTATAGTAATATCCTGCATATACGTTCTTTTATTAAAAGTAATCTCATGTATAGGTATTCTATTTTTTTTTTTTTTTCGTGAAAATTCCACAAGAAAGTTGCAAAAAAAGGTATAGAAATTTCTGCAATTTTTCTTTAAGATTCGATGAAATCTTCTCCTTTCTTTCTTTTGCAAAAAATTTTTCAAAATATCTACGTGTATCGACATATCTTCTCTACGTAAAAAGAATATTTATTGAAAAAAATAACCAAAGAATATTAAAATAAAAGTATTACATAGTTTGACTTTAAATGATTTAGTATTGTTATAATAATAATTATTATTATTATTATTTTTTTTTTTTTTTTTGCAAATAGAACCAAATTGCTTTTATTCGATTAATACTAATATATCATAGTCCGTTCTTATGTTTTTATCTTATACAATTCCCATTACTTCCATTAAAAATGTAAAAATTAAAATTATATAAATATTTAGGAGGTGTAGATACAGATTATATATATATATATATATATATATATATATACTACAATTTTACTACTCCGTTCGATAACACATGCCAAAGTATTCATTCTGATACAAATTTTTTTCAGCAGAATAAAGTTCTACAACAAGAATAAGTTATCTTAATAAATCTAGTCGGTAGAATTTAGTATATCCAATACTAGCGCCTGAGTCGATAATTTTGTATAATTAATGGAAAAATTTTTTAAATCCATTATGACGAAATTGTAAAAGCATGGAAAACGAATAAAAAAGTATTATTTCTTTTAATAAATCGTGAATAATATACCTAACCGTTAAATACTTGAAAGCTTTCGTAATAATAAATAATAAAATTTTTCTCCACTTTTTGGAAATGCATATTTTAACATTATTTATAGCTTTTTATTTTGCGAATAAGCATCCCAGGAAGGGATACCGACCTTATGAAACTTATTTCGAGTTCCTTCATATGCATTGTGATATTCAAAGTTTGTTTTATTAAAATATTAAGCATGCATTTTTATAATATTCGGCAGAATGCTTATATCGATAATTATAAGGAGATGATTATTAAAGATAGAAATGTATTGTGTAAAATATCAAAAAATGAGAAAAATTATTGAAAATGAGAATAAATGACTTAAGAGAAAGAAACTCGCTTTATTCCAATTCATTGATCGAAGTGAAATTTTTTCCCTTATAAAGTATCTGAGCAGGAAATCTTATTCAATATTTATTTATTTAAGTATGCGCGCGTGTATATAAAATTTTTTTTTAACGAATTCTTAAAGTTGAACGAATGCCGTAAGATATTCTCAACAAAATTTGAGAAAATATCAATTTTAACTTCACGAGCAATTGTCATTTATATTAAAATAATATACAGTTCTGACAAATATTCATTTGGCAAAGTCGATCGATAATCGTAGCCGATGATGCGGTGGCCCGCATTGATAAAAATGAGCTTTTTATTGAGCCATCTAATGTTAGAAAATTTGACAATTACCAATTTTGAAGATGTAGAGATAAATCATTACTATCCACTTATCTGCGTTGAAATATAAAATAAAATATTTCATTCTCTACTCCCACGGTGAATATTAAATCACTTCACTCTCAAAATTTCAATGCATTGGTAGTTTGACGATGAAACAAATGCAAATAATGGAATATAAAAATTCATGTTTAATTATTAAACGATCCTCTGTATGATTATCGTTATCATTATTATTATTATCGTTATTAAATCAAACAACATACACAATCGAGCTCATGAATTTTTCAAACTTTTTCATAACTATCGACTTAACTCGAATCGTTACATCAATTTCTAGCCATGTTGATCGAAATCGGGGGGGAAAAAAAAAAAAAAAAAAAAAAAAAATGAGAAACAAATGTCTAAAAAACCAATAGAACGTAACAGAACATCGTAATAAGCTTAAGAATGAGCAACGCGAATGTGTCGTAACTCCTAGAGCCAAACTTGTAAAATGTCCGACAATTATAAAGCTCATTTGTTGAAGCACGGGCTTGGCGGCGATCCGCTTGAAACAGCCGTCGCTCTGCATTGTCGAGCTCATCGTTAAAAAAAATTCTCCTTCTTACATAATAACGTACTCGTACATTGGCGATTATCCGTAATTACGGCGATGCAACACCTGGGCAGAAAGTACCGGTGATACTTACGCTCCAGGGGCTTTCAATTGAACCAAAGCCCATACTGCATGTGAAATGCCTAACAGATTAAACGATCGAGCATAATAATTCCTCGAATGCACGGGTTATTACAAATCCAAGACGAAAAGCGCCTCGGTCTGCCATTAATTCGCTCGGCTGCAATATCGCCAACGCGCCGCTGCGTATTTCCCGAAGCAGCAACGCTGGCACGAAAGTTTAAAGTCCATCGTCGAAAAATTATCATCAGTCTGCGCCGCCACTATATAGACACTCCCGATGCCAAATCCAGCCAGACATCGCACACAGGCGCAGTCGCGCGGCCGGCGCACTCACACACGTGAGCTCGGTGTCGAGCTAGTGGCGCGGCTTTAAAGAGAGTCGTCGTCGTCGTCGTCGTCGTCGTCGTCGTCGTCGTCGTCTTGGTCATCGTCTTGGTCATCGTCTTGGCAATCTTATTTTCTATTCATCATAATAGCCGTCCTCTTCGTCGTCTTCGTCGTCTTCGTCGTCTTCGTCGTCTTCGTCGTCTTCGTCATCGTCTCGTCTGGGATGTGAAAAAAAAAATAATAAACACGCGTAACCCTGCGGCTCAGGTCAGACGCAGCGCTCCTCGCTACGTGCGCGCGTGTGCGTGTGCGCGCGCTCGAATAAATGTGCGTCTGATGAGCGAACGCCAACTCGCGGCGAGTGTCGACCGACGCAAGAAGTTCGCGGACGCCGTCGCGAAAAAGGGATCGCGCGTCTGTGTGCGTGACGTCTGTGGCGCGCGCGCGTACGTGGTGAGAGAGAGAGAGAGAGAGAGAAAGCGAGTAATAGAGGGGGAGAGTGAGAGTGAGAGTGAGTGCGAGACAGCGTGTGGGGTAGAGCAAGGAGAGATACGGAGTCTGCGAGAGGGAAGCAGCACACAGACAGGCAGTGGCGATTAAAACTCCGCTGGGATGGCGGATCTGAAAACGTCTTAACGGTCGTTCTTTCACGTCCCCTCTGAATAATCGTGGGAAGCTCGCGATTTTAATCGATCCGCCCCCCCCCCTCACCCCACCCTCACTCCCACCAAGCCCCTGTCGAAACGATTGTAAAAGGGACGTTTAGATCGAGCCTTGGCAAGAGAGTGAAAAGGGGAAAGTTTAAGCAGTTTTGACGCGGATCGCCAGAGAAAACAAGGTTTGTTACAAAATTTTACGTCTTTTTCCGCTCACAGTAGCATTAGACCTCTTGGCGGAGCTTATCGATTTGAGAACGTAGTAGCTTACTGCTCTTTTATAACCATAGGATTATATATTTGAAGCTTTTTCACATTCGAACGATGAAGTATCACTTTTTTATAAAGGTTTTTGTAGGAAATTAGTTAATAGCTTGAGGGTGCAGGTATATTTTCGTACAAGCATCTGATACAATACTGCTTAGCCTTAACACGATCTCAATTTTAATGTCAAATCTCTATTATATATGACTTTTCTACTCGATAATTACTTAAATCATTGACATTGATCATTTAATTCGTAATTTTTATTTTTACTTTTTGAATCTGTAATTGAATTTAGGTTAGGGTAGAATAAGCCTCGGTCTTTACCCCTCTGCTTTACCAATTCAACTTTTCTATTTTTGTTTTATATTTTCTTAACTTTTTTTTCTATTTATTTTTAGTTTTTTAATTTTTAATACTCATAAACTGATTTTGTTGCTCTTCTTCTTCATTTTTAGATGTAAAACAACTTAACTGCCTAATTCAGCGATGGAAAATATTTTGCTTCCTAAATTAAGGCTTTTAAAATACTATAAACGTTAATTTTCTAATTATTTTAATATCACTTGTACGTGCATTTGCGAAATCTAATTTTGCAGACACGTTCGACCAAAAGTGTCACGATAACTATTAAACGATCATAATTTACTTTGCAACTTCCTTTTAATCACTCAGGCAGAAGCAACGGAAAATACTTATGCTGCAGCTTGACGATCTTGCTAAAAAAAATGGCCTTCGGCTAAGAAATATTACAAGTGATTTAGCCTGAATTCAAGTGGCCGATGAAGGCACAATGAAAGCCATTGTATTGAACGTACTAGTCACTGTCGTCTGTGGTGCAGCCTTAACCCTGGTTAAAGCTGATAAAATATGTGCAGTTAGTAAAAGGGATGCCAAAAGTTTGTCAGAAAAAGATTCAGCCGATGATATAGAAGATGCTTTCAATACCAATAATCATACTCAGGTATAAGCTTTGCTCATAAAAATATAATTACTCAAAGAAATTGAAAGCTTGATAAGTTTATATTTTAAGTTGAGACAATGATTTTTAATAGCATGAATATAAATAAAAATATTACATATAGCTTTAAATTACCAGGACTTGAATAGAATTCGCTTATTTATTAGTTTCATCTTAACAACATCATTCAATTATTTTCATTAATTGTAACCGTTTCGAAATTGTTCATAAGCACGTACGTTAAAAATTATTTGTATATAATTTTATAATTTCATAAGTGATTTCTATTCATATATAACCTTGTATTTATTCTCTGTAATATTGATGAATATATATTTCAGATTGAAAATGATATCAAGTATGAAAAATGCAATCAGTATTGTTATGCATTGTGGCGAGAAGAGAATACATCTAATGGAACGAAAATAAATATTTTTCTTCAAGGTATATTAAATTAATGCAAACCAATGCAAAATTAATAATTCGTCCGTGTTTTAATTATTAATACAATTGTATTGTATTTAGAAAAAAACAGTGTTGCGTATAGAGAGTGAAAAATTATAATAATGAAAAAGAATTTGATCGATGTTAAAAAAACAATTGCTTAATATGAGTTTATATTTATGTAGGATGCTGGAAGCAAGAAGGACAAGAATGTGAAAACACAGAATGTATAGCGAACCGGTGGAATAAAGCTCTAAGCAATGCAAAGTTCTGCTGCTGCAGAGAAGATTATTGCAATGTTAATGTTACAGATCCTTTCGAAAATAAATTACTCTTAACCAGTCCAGCAAGTAAGAATAATTTAAGTGTGATTGTTGCAGGTATTTTTTATTTCATTTGTTTTCTTTTGCAAGGGGAAATTTTTAATTTTATGCATCGAGCACACGCGGTTTAATTACAAATAAATAAATTCATTTAATATTTTCTTATTTAATATTTTCTTATTTAAAAAAAAACAACAGTAAAGTATGTTAATAATTTTTAATCAAGTGGTAACAAACGATTTTCCTTTTCTTACATTTTAATTCCAAATTTACATAGTTTTTGATAGTTAGTATTTTTTTAAAATTAAGATTTCTCCATTTTATCTTATTTCTCTTAGTTTTAACGTTTATTTTGACTTGAAGTACATTTGATTGTTTGTATTTTTAGCTACAGAATATTTAGAGCAGGTGGACTCGGAGCATTTCATGCTTATAACAGTGACTACCTTAGCTTGCATTTTACTAGTCACTTTTACAATTATCATTTTAATATACCGAGTATATAGAAACAACATTTTAATACGATTGGGAAAGCCACTGTCATACAATGACAATTATAACGATAGCAGTGGCTTACGTACCGGTACTTACACAGTCGACCATTTGAAACTTTCGACGATAGTCGGTAAGTACAATCAACTTAAAAGCACATCGTTTGTATCAACTTTTATAAAATGCATAAATAGGACTTGATGATTTATCAAAAAAGGCTCTTAAAGTCGATTAAATTAACAATGAATTTCTTACAATTATTTAAATAAATAAAAAAAAAAAATGATTAAATGAAATGTTTATTAGGTTATGACTTGTAGTATCTAATTGAATCAAATTTTTAATGTAAGAACAATAAAAAAAAAAATACCATTCAATTGATCTTTATTTAATGATAACGTTACATAGTAATTTATTAAATTATTCATATAATTGCTATTAGACAATTTTTGGAAAATACCATACATACTTAGATAGTACTAAAAAATTTTTTAATTAAATCGACGTGTATATGCATTTCACCTCTAATATACTTATATTTACATATTTGTTTATTGTGAGATAATAATTTAAATGAGAAATAGGTCAAGGGAGATATGGATCGGTATGGCAGGGTAGTATGGGAGATCAAGAAGTTGGAGTAAAGATTTTTCCTGGACATTATCAAAGCTACTTTCTAAATGAGCGAGATTCATATTGTTTACCATTTATGGAACACCCATCACTGTTACATTATTACGGTAATGTTTTATATACATAAATTATCTATATAAATTTAATCACAATAATTATACACAATAATCGAATTTATAATTACGTATCTTTTTTTTTGTTACTTAGGTTCGGATGAAAGAATAAGTATGGATGGTAATATTGAATACCTTTTGGTATTTTCGTTTGCATCTGGAGGAACTTTAACGGAATTTTTACGCTACCATACCTTTGATTGGATGACATTTTGTAAAATGGGACTGTCAATAGTCAAAGGGCTCGCATATTTGCATACAGATATACGAAGAGGAGGTTGGTAATCTTATAAAAAATTTTATAATATTAAAACAGTATAATGATTTTTTTTTTTTTTTTTTTTTTTTTTTTTTTTTTAATAGCCTTCCAATTAATTCCTTCAATAATTATTACGCTTTGTTTCAGACAAATTCAAGCCATGCATAGCACATAGAGATATGAATTCAAGGAACATATTGATCAAAGCCGATGGCAGCTGTTGTATATGTGATCTTGGACTCGCGGTTCAAATATCTGGATCTAAATACTTTTCTAATGGAGAAGAACAGCATGCCGAGACAAAATCGATTAATGATGTTAGTTTAGACATATTCATTTTAACTCATGAATTTTTCTAATATTCAAGTTAAATCGATCGATAAGGCATTGATTGAAAATACAATAAATATTAAATTTATTAATTTTAATGCTCGTGGTGCAATGATGTATTATTACATTTCATCGAATAACAAATTTCTTAAAATTTATACTTATTAACTTACGCGCATAGATAAGAAAGACTCATAACGAATGAACATACAGTGCAATTTGCTATATAATATGTACTTTTCAGGTTGGAACACTGCAATATATGGCACCCGAAGTACTCGAAGGTGCTGTGAATCTCCGCGACTGCGAAAGTTCTCTCAAACAAATCGACGTCTATGCGATGGGCTTGATTCTCTGGGAGTTAGTATCTCGTTGCACCGACGTTTATGTTCCTGGCACTGAAATTCCACCTTACAGGCAACCATTTGAAAAAGAAATCGGTATGGAAATTATGTTGACAATATTATTGAGGCAACTGGTTGTAGATAAATCACGTGGATATTTACGCATCCTCTATTTTGTCAATAATATTTTATCTTACATGTGTTAAGTAAAAAGTTTTAGTTAGTAAAGTACAGTACAGTACAGTACAGTACAGTACAGTTATTAATTATTTCATAATTATTTCATAACTCGTAAAAAATAGACTGCAAATTTCTGTTACATAAACAATGTTTGATTGAAATATATTTTAAATAATTTTCTATCATGCATATATACTTTTAAAGCTAAACAATACGATTTAACTTCAATCAAGGTTAATCTTTTAACAATTTTATGCAGGTCTTCATCCAACATTTGAACAGATGCAAGTGTTAGTGTCTCGAAATAAGGCGCGACCACTTTTAGAAGGGAACTTGATTGACAAGCCTGGGGTGCGCTTAATTAGAGAAACTATGGAAGACTGTTGGGACTCCGATGCGGAAGCCAGACTCACTGCCCTCTGTATTGAAGAACGACTAATGGAACTTCAGTCCCATCGAAGTAAGCGGTTAATTATTCATAATTCATCGTCCTTTTGTATTCCCGAATAAGCTTAGAGGTTTAATCTCTAAAGAATTTTTTTCTTTCTTTCAATTAATAAAGCACTTTTTTAATGCCGCATAAAACTTCATTTTATATTAATGTCGGTTGAAATACGAACGATAAATATCATTTTTACATTTGGCGAAATTTATCTCGTCTCTATTCATCAATCTTAATCTTCGATTATCCTATTGGTCTTTAACAAAATGACAATAGCTTTAGAAACAAAGTTTTCACTTTTAATACTCGTATCGCACAATTGACGTGTGATCAATTTTATTATACAAAAGATCGAAGGTTGTATTTTGTTTTTAAAGTAGACGATCGGTTGAAAATGCAATTATCACGTATGTAGTGAATTCGTAAAAGAATTTTTCTCATACATCTCATAATCGAATGAACCGCTTATTTCGAAATAATTCGAATAAAAAAAAAATCGAGGACGTAAATCATACATCGTACACTTTTAGTTACAATGTATTTCACGGACGGGAGTCCCATGGTGAATTCCCACTGCGGACTTGTGCCTTCGACAACAAACAGCCTTTACAGCGACGCTCCTCATCATGACGGCGCTCATGTCGTGCAGATGAACACTCACGATGGCAATGAAGTTACTGTAGACAATTTAGTGATATTGTCCCCGAGTGAGAGCTGCGTGCAGGAACACAGCGGTGAGTACATTGATGTACGATTGCTAATATCATTGGCGGCTCATTTCGATTTGTTAATTAGGTTGGTGTCTTGGTAAGCGACTTGTGCATTCGAATTTTATAATGCTCATTTTCGATCCATTTCATCATGAAATCCGCAACAAAATTTGTTAACTTTCACGATCACTGGAACCAAATTACTTACTATAGACGAAGCGATCCCTCATTTTTTTTTTCATGTCTGTTTTTGAAATATATAAAATGCATTAAAGAATTAATTCACACCATCATAGAAATTTGACTACCATTCAGATTTAATTACTTATTATAAAAGATGCAATGAGAAATACAATAAATTAATGCTAATATATATATATATATATATATTCATTATTGTTTATTCTAAACAACATTTTAAATAATAAACTCTTTAGAAGACAAGAATTATACAAAAATTATTAAACAAAAAAAACTAAAAAAAGCTTAAATGTTGTCAATACTATGATTTCAAATTAAATGTTCGTCCAATTGTTTCTTTTGCAATCTTTCTTATCGATCGGCTATCGATATATATATATTTACGTTTCCTATAAAATACAGCCACGCATTTCATTTAACAGTTTTATGTTAAATTCGACACAATACGAAAATACAATTGTAAAATTCAGAAGCAAACAAGTAAACAACAGCCAGTCTGGATATTTGTATTTAATTTCTTGATACTGAAAGATGAACCATGAAAATAGAAAATATACACTTTAATTGGGAGATAAATAGACAATTGCTTAAATATAAGTTTACTGACAGCTAATACGTCATCCCCTACCCCCACCTGACCACTCCATCGATTAGTTCTGCATTTAAACATCCATTTCAGACACTTTATATATATATATATAAGGTCTAAACGCATAACATTATAATACGCGTTTAGCCAAGAACTCAAATGAGACAGCAACGAGTTGCAATCTGGGCGTGCAACAGCTGCAGCCATATCAAGGCCGCAACCCATGCATGGAGCGCAACCTGATGATGCAGTCGGATTCTTGCGAGGAACTGGGCTGCCACGGGAATATCCTCGTCAATAAATCCTCCAAGCACGCGGCCAATGATTCCATTCAATACGCAAAGCTTCCGAGCAGCGAGACTCAGAGCTTAATGCCCCACGATTACCTTAGTCAGCAACAGCAGCAGCAGCAACACCAACATCAACAGCTACACCACGTAACGAGCTCGCAGCAGTTGTCACTTAGACCCGTGACACCGATCCCCTATGTTCAGGTAAAGCTTGCTCGAGTTATTACTTTCATCCTTTAGATATTCACTATTGAGCAATGAATTAATATTGAGTACGAATACAAAATATTAAGGAAATGACCGTTTCAATTCTATAACGAGTCTTATAACGTCTTAGAAATATTTACAGATTTACATTTGAATTTTAATCTAATAATTCTGAATTCTCATGATTATGATGCCGATAAAGTTTAACTAGTATCTAAAATACGTCTACAGATTTAGTTTCTCTCTCGCACGCGCGCGCGCGCACACACACACACACACACACACACACATCAACACACACCAACGCACACATGCAGAGAGATCGGGTAAGAGATTAGTGTACGTGGTTGTACGACGCGTAGCTTAAGTCCCAATAAGTAGTAAACATCCTAATCTCTGTATATATTATTAACGACTTGTTTATCACATATTTGTAAAATATAGCAATTTATTTCAATTCGATATTTTTCACTCGAAACGTTTCTTGTCCCACTTTCTACTTCATTCTATTTGTTAACACTCGAAGAAAACCTGTTTATATTATCGACTTGCTAATCGTTTTTGACAAAACTACGCGCATGTACTGTCAAAGTTCATTGACACATCCTTTTTTTAAATGGAATTTAATCAAAGTTTTGTCAAATTGTAATAAATGAAAGCTATTTATTTATCATATACTATCTATTTTCATGTAATTTTTTTCTATTTTTATTATATTATTGTTTTATTTGGTGACGAAGATTTCGGCTTGGACAAACCCTTGATTGTTATTCCAATATAATTAATTTTAAAATAGGCAAAGATATTTAATTTCAAATTAGTAATTTACCTTCAAATTTTGCTATATATCTATTTTACGTTTAAGATTGTTTTTCAAAAACTTACAAACCCTTGAGCGCATCTCTCAAAATCTTTTACAAGTATTGTTACTCCTGAAATAAATCTACTTTATTGATACATTATACAATTCTATGCATAATATTATTATTTTTATTAAAATAATTAAGATTAATTTAAAAAATTTTAACGGATTTTTTAACTCTCTTGTTTCTCGTATTCATTATGTTTTAATCGTAATGTATTATTACAAAGAATTTGAGAAGAAAGGTATTATAGTAGGTCTTTGCCATTTCGATTTTTTAACTTCTCTCTTGATCTCCGTTCCCCTTTCTCTCTCTCTCTCTCTCTCTCTCACTCACTATATATCTATCTATCTATCTATCTATCTATCTATCTATCTATCTATCTATATATATATATATATATATATATATATATATATATATATATATATATATATATATATAAATGCACTTTCCGTCGCTTCTCATACTGTCTTTCTCCTTAAAATAATTAGATATAGTTTCTATCATGTATATTTACACGTAACCATTACTTGACCTGACAGAACGTCATCTCGGAATGCAGTGGTGGCAGTACTTCGTACAACAAACTAAAGCAGACCAACATCCAAGAGTCGTGCTATTCGGCCTTACCCAACAAGTCTCAGGACATATCGCGTAAGCGTCGTTTCTCTGGCTGGGCGAATCTCAAACGGGTCCTTGCAAGCAAGAAGATGCTGTACCAGCATCACCATCCGTCGTACAGCAAATGCCAAATCGATCGTGAGGACTCAAAATCAAATCTGCTGGCGAACAAGAACGGCAATTATCATCAACCAAAGATTGTTGAAACGAACACAAGCGTTTTGCAGGCGGGCAGGTACATGAACAGCGTCGTAACGAGCGGCAAGCCGGAGAAAAACAGCGAGAAGAGGAGCGGGACCGAGGTCTCCCATAAGCAGCAGCAGCAACAGCAGCAACAGCAGCAACAGCAACAGCAACAGCAACAGCAACAACAACAACAACAGCAGCAGCAACAGCTCTCTTCGAGGCCTTCGACCCTACCCTTGATGAACCTCCGAAAGAAGAGCGAGACAAACCTGAGCCGACAGGAGAGCCTTGATAAATTCAACGATCTCTTCAACACTGGTTCCAACGTCAACGTCGCCCTCAAGGATTCTCACACGCGAATAAAGACGTCCAATGAGCTGCCACCGTCCGTGAGGAGGGCTGGTGGAAGGAGCAACCAAAGCGCGGCCGCGAGGTTCTCCCTGTACGACGACAGGATGATGTGCAACGTACTCAACGAAGCCAGCGGAGACAAAAGAACCGGCGAGAGTGGCGCGATGTCATCCAATTCGGTACCTTTTGGCATGGATTTTGCCGACGAGCAGCTCACCATCCAGTCCAAGTTCGATACGAAAGACGTGACTTGCTTCTAATCAAAAGTGGAACGGGGACGGACGAGGCCCGGCTGTAAATTATTGAGTGTGAGATTTTATGGGTTGACACGTGAAGAAACGATTACGTTGATATAACGTATAGGTTAGCATTTTTCTTAGAGTTAGAGCGTTCTTCCCTTTTTCTTTCTTAATGTCCGCCTAAATTTGCTTTTATTGTCTTAAATTATAAAGTCTTTGGAATCGGGAGGCCCATATCTGTGGAGTAATTGTGAAATAATTGTCGACTCCTGTGAGGTAGTAAAGTATGTTTCATAGGGAAAATGATGGCGGATGAAAAATTGACTTACTATATGTAAACGCTTAAATAATTTTTATTTATTAGTTAATTAGTCTAAGCTGAAATGTTGACGTCTATAGAGTGGTAAGCTTGTCAACTGTGCGTGAATTTTGTAAGCGAAATTTTCGAAATTTCGCTGAACTTCATGCTTGCTGCAATAATAGAAACAATGAATACGTTTGGAGAAAATTTAAAATACTCGATTTTACGATGATCTCATTTCAAATATCTTGGTCTTTTTTTTAAATAGAAGACCTTTATTTAAAATTGTGCGATAAATCGTATCAGCTACGGACAAATATGATTTATTAATATTATAACGATGGCAATAACGTGGCACGTTACTGAATCATACTTTTTAAAGTATATTTTATTATTAAAATAAAAAGAACTTTTTCAAACATTATTTAAAATCTTAAGATATAAGTGTGGCTTTTTTTTTTTTTTTTTAATCTCGCATTACAAAATGCGCATACTACATGTAAAAAGCACTAAACTGCGATTTGATAAAATGTTAAATTTGTTTATATGACACATATTATTCGATGGGGGTTTTCTAGATTTAAATGAAACTTGTTGATAAATAAATTTAATAACAAAAAAAATCGCATAAATATCGCCACTGTACTAATGCATTTATTATTATTTTTTAATAATAGTGAAATAATTTTAAATTATACTTTTAAATCTTAATTCGTTTAAAGAACTTGTGCTTATAAAAAATATTGTTAAAAATTTCATTCATTTGTTATTTACCGAGTTATTACATTATAAGAGATAGTTTTATTTAATTAAACTAATTCTTATATATATATAATAGATAAATCAAGATTTCTTTAAGGTATGTGCCTTCAAAAGTAATAATAATAGATATATATTATGATTCTTGCGAACATAATTTCTGTACAGAATGTTACTTTTTGACGGCCGAATTGAAATATAAATCAAAATTAGTTAATACTTTGACTGATTGATCAATAATGCCAAATATCTGCTTTTATACTAATGTGTGACAAGTATCTCTAATTCAATTATCTTTTACCATTTTCGTAGCGTCGATATTATAATAATAATAATAATAATAATAATAATAATAATAATAATAATAATAATAATAATAATAATATTATATATATATATATATATATATATATATATATATATATATATATATATAAACAAATGCTTACAATTTGAAAATTCAATGTTGTTTGTAAGAAAAAGGGAACTGTAAGTTTAATAATCTTGCCCATACATTTTATTTAAATAATATTATATTCCATCGCACCGTATCACATAATTTCTCATAATTTCTCACATCAATAATTTTCACTGCTAGAGAATAAAACGATTGCTGACCAGAAGCACGAATCCGTAGACAGCAATTGTACAGAGATTTTGTATAGGTTTATATATATAAATATATTACATTTTATACTTAATGGCGGATGAGAAGCAAATATATTCGTTCGTAAAATCGATATTATGAGAATGAGAAAAATATTGTACAATAAAAGATTATGTATGATCCACATTACGACGATACACCTGTGATTTTTCGATATTATAGGTTTTTTTTTTGTTTTTTTTTTCAAGAGAACAGGATATGTTTTATCACTTTTAATAAGATATTTTTACATATATAATATATTTTATTCTTTGAATAAGATTTTGAAAGGGTATTAGCATTTAAATGTTTGTTTATTTTTTTATATTGCATACTAATTTATTAAAAGGAAACTCTAAGTCTAATGTAATTGTCATTTTGTATACATACTTTGGCAACAATTTTAAGTAAACCTTGAGATATTTTATACGTAATATTATCAAATATATACAAATATATAAATCATTTGATTATCTCATTACAAGAAATACTAGATAGAAAGTGGAAGTTTCATTATAAAAAAATTCAACGTTATACAATTGTGTTTAATGCACCGTTTTTGTTTTGTTGTTGTTGTTTTTTTTTTTTTTTTTTTGAGGCCAAAGATTCTCGATTAATTACTAGTCTCTATGTTTATTACGTAGCTGTAAGAGTCTAAAGACAATACTAAATTCACCATAGGCCTTTTAAAATTTAATGAAATTATTTATAATAATTTTATTGAAGTTAAGTCTAACGTTTCACGATCGACTTACTCTTGGCACATGATAATATATCTAAAATCTTACTAGTTCTCAAACAAAAATCAAAGACAAAAATGATTTTAGATATTGGTCAATCAATTGGTCAATCACGTCTGTTCTAAACATTTCCTTCTTTCTTTTTCTTTTCATCTTAAAAACATATAATGTTCTTATTTGTAAGTTTTGTATACATATATATTATACTCGTTAAGATCCGTATGATTAAAATACGTTTATTGTTTACTTTGGCTTTAAAAGACGCTAAACGATACTCATTGCTATTTACAATATAAATTGTATGCTAATTTTAAATAATTAATCTATTACTTTTTTTTCTCAATATCATTAATGTATATTCTTGAGTGAATATTTTCATAATCCGAACTGCTTAAAGTAAAAAAATTTATCTAAAATTAATTTTTTATAATTTTATAAAACTCCCTGACACAACAGATTAATAAACATTTATTCAACAAATGTATAAATTGTTATGGCAAAATGAAACGTGTAATCGATTTGAAGTATCTGCGAAATTCTAGTACATTCTTATCCAAGAAATTACCTACAATTTTTAGAGTAGAATGTGAAATAGAGCAGAACGTGAAATCAATTAGTAAAATATACTTTTGTCTTCAATTATTAAAATTGTCTTTTAACAGTCAATTTCAATTCAAATTCAAAACTGTCATTTTAATAGCATTGTTTTCTTCACTTTTTTTGGACATCTTTCCTATTGAGTCATTAATTTTTTCCCTTTTTCTCTTTCTTTCCTCGCCCCTACAGTAATCGATAATTTGAAATTGAGTAATTTGAAATATATATGATATTGATCGGATAATTTTTGGTCTAAATTTTTTATCGAATCGCTACATACATTTTAAGATATGCCTGTATAAATAAATATCCTGTTCAACTTATATATTGTTTAAAATTAAATATAAAAACAATGCAAATGAAATTCGAATGCTAATACCCTTTCGAGCATTAAACTTTATATAAAGTTTTACTTAAAGTATTTTCTATGTTGATGAAGAAATATGTTATGTGATTTGAAATTAATATTTGAATTGTTGAAATTTTAATAATAATAATAAAAAACAAAAAACAAAAAATAAAAACTTTTCACCTACATGGACGGAAAGTAGTGGCACTAACTTATATATTAATTTGACCACACATGTATTACGTTATAATACATAAATACCATTGTTTTAAAAAATAGCTTTTAAAATCTAAGCCACTTTTTAATTAATTAGTATTTGTTTCCAGTGGCTATATTCAAACAAAATTATAAAATTTTGAAGATTCTTTCTAGCTGGCCAATCCAAATGATTCACAGTATAGACAATATTTTGAATAAAAATTTTAAAGTTTATATTAAATGTAAGAAAATGCCATTGTAAAAGTTTAATTAAACTTTAGTGTACTTAATATACTAAGATTAAACAGAGTATGAAAATATGTAAAAAAAAAAAAAAAAAAAAAACTTCGACTTCACATTAATACAAAATATGGATTTTTTAATATCCAAAAGAAAATGTTCAAAATCGCAATAATCTAGTATTGAAAGTGATTTTTTACGTTTTTTGACTTTTAAACTATTAAGCAAATAAGAGTCATGTACAATGCTTTACATAACTGAAAATCTTATACGTATAATAGCTCTATTTTGCATATGGAAAATTACAATTGTCGTACATTTACCGACTACCGTCGCTATCATGAAAACTATAAAATAAGTTTGCGAAGTATTGTAAATTTCTTTTATAACACTTGCAATTACAAATCACAGATGTTGAGGCTTATTAGAGATTCGTAGTGAGATTAACGTTGAATTGGTTATTTTTAATTTTCTATTTACATTAATTTTTATAAAAAGTGGCGTCTTATGTATTGTGCGTTGGTGATTTTATTGTAAAGTTTAGTGAGTAAGAGAAACAAATAAAATAAAATAAGATAAAAATAATGAAAGTGCAATGACACGCTGATGAAATTATGTACTCTGAAGGCGCGCGATCGCAATTCCGTTAGAAGGCAACGACTTTTATGTCATCGGTTTATTACTATTATTATTATTATTACTATTATTACTACTACTACTACTACTACTACTACTACTACTACTACTACTACTACTACTACTACTACTACTACTACTACTACTACTACTACTACTACTACTACTACTACTACTACTACTACTACTACTACTACTACTACTACTACTACTACTACTACTACTACTACTACTACTACTACTACTGCTACTACCACTACTATTACTACTACTACTACTACTATTATTATTATTATTATTATTATTATTATTATTAAATCATTAATATTATATTATATTATTACGAATTCATAGTGACTGTTTGAAACATTTTAGGATCTCTTTTTCCAAAGAAGCGAAGCTTCGTATGAATTGTAGGCAATGTTTTATTTTTTTTTTTTTTACTTTACGTTTTTTTTCTTTTGCCTTTTTTATAAATTGTTTATGGAGATGAAGAAATAATTTTAAACAAAAAGTGGCTAAGAAAGAAGCGAGTAGTTGTGATCAGTTATTCTATCTAGGTTCCGCAGATATATGATCAGCGAATCACATTGTGCCCGATACTTTCCTAAGTGAACAACTACATTCCAAATGTGTAATATTTTGTATTTGTTTTTTCTTTTCTTATTTTTTTTTTTTTTTTTTATTTGGAATAATTTATATTCTAAGGAGACGTGTTTTCTACGCTTGTTCGTGTAAGTAAATTCTGTCAAACGAAGATTTATATAATTATATATATACTGATAAAGGTATTAATTCAATGTATGTTTCAATGTATGTAAACTACGTGTTTTTTTTTTTTTTTTTTTTTTTTTTTTAAATAAAATACGATTCCATCACCGCATATACCTTGTTCTTCATTTATTGAATTCAATTTTGTTTTCTTATTTTTGTAATAAACATAATTATGAATAATTAAGGTTACAGCGAGATGCGCTTTTACTTTAATATAGAGCATTTTGTAAAAATAAATGAGACTAAAGCCGAATACGAGAGATTGATCGAGCCTAGGAGTTTATCTGTTTCTTTATAATGAAATTTTTATATTTTATATTATTTCTTGTAATTATACGACTCATTGTCATCTATCGTATTTTTTTCTCTACTTTTTTTGTTTCCTCTCGCTACCTACCACTCCGCCCACTTATAATCTACTGTTTCTTATGTCTCAACGCATTTAATATTGGAAATCTCATTTTAACGATTTTGCTGACTACTTTGATAATGATGCCTTGGGCATTTGGACAATCGACCCTATAAATTCCTATAAGTTCAGGTTGGCCAAGTGCAATGAGATTAAGACAGGCCGTGCCGTTTATAAGCCGACGTTGACAAGCTAATAACGACGTTCGTTCGTATTCGTACTCACAAACACGATGACAAGCAACGCTTAACGCTTGTCCCTAATACCTACCCCGCGTGCCGCTGCTACCGACGTTGCCGTCGCCGACTTAACCGGGAACAACGCCCTGAAGTTGCGAGAGGCGATCAGAGGGCAACGGTCGGCAAATCTCGGCCGCGCCTCTGTTGGCTCTCGGCGGCCGGAATCACGGGGCAAGACGAGTCGCGTGGCCGTTGTCATCCATCTTGCCCCGGGAGTCGCACCGACGTCGAACCTCCCGCCACGATACGAGAACCAATTCGCGCACAGCCGAGCAGTGCGCCGAATCGAGCGCATCGGCTACAATTTGCCACCAGTCTGACTTTCGAAGTTGGTGACGTTTCGTCGTAGTCGTCGTCGTCGTCGTCGTCGTCGTCGTCGTCGTCGTCGTCGTCGTCGTCGTCGTCGTCGTCGTCGTCGTCGTCGTCGTCGTCGTCGTCGTCGTCGTCGTCGTCGTCGTCGTCGTCGTCGTCGTCGTCGTCGTCGTCGTCGTCGTCGTCGTCGTCGTCGTCGTCGTCGTCGTCGTCGTCGTCGTCGTCGTCGTCGTCGTCGTCGTCGTCGTCGTCGTCGTCGTCGTCGTCGTCGTCGTCGTCGTCGTCGTCGTCGTCGTCGTCGTCGTCGTCGTCGTCGTCGTCGTCGTCGTCGTCGTCGTCGTCGTCGTCGTCGTCGTCGTCGTCGTCGTCGTCGTCGTCGTCGTCGTCGTCGTCGTCGTCGTCGTCGTCGTCGTCGTCGTCGTCGTCGTCGTCGTCGTCGTCGTCGTCGTCGTCGTCGTCGTCGTCGTCGTCGTCGTCGTCGTCGTCGTCGTCGTCGTCGTCGTCGTCGTCGTCGTCGTCGTCGTCGTCGTCGTCGTCGTCGTCGTCGTCGTCGTCGTCGTCGTCGTCGTCGTCATCGTCGTCGTCGCTTTTACCGCTATTACTGCTGGTGCTGCCGCAGCTTCAATACTGCTGGCGTGGAGGGGAAGGAGCTGTTGGCGAAGGTACCGGAGACTCCTTTCATTTTTTTCAATGTTCCTCGCTCAGTTGTTTTTTCGCCAGTGACGCGCTCGCATCGGTTCGAATTGTCCAGCTGTGGGGATCGCTCTCCGCCGAGGGTCGAGTGCGACCCCCCCACTCCCACGAATTCAACGGTGATCGTGCTCCTGTATCCGTCAGTGGCCCCCTAGAAGAGCCTCGGAGGCTGGGTAGGTGACCAGCATAGCGGAACGGTGAGTAGCACCGGTAAGGCGAGGCGAGAGGAGAGACGCTGCATCGCGCGACTCTTGTCGGTCCAGCTCGGGCGGTGCCCCCCACCCCCTTCCCCCTCCTACCCACCTCCCTCCCTCACCCTACCACTCTCCATACAGGTTCGCACGTGCGCATAGACAGACACCGCATGTTTACGAATTTCGTTGTCGCTTAATCTCAGTCGACAGGCGATTTGTTGTTGTTGTCACTGGCACGCGGTGCTCAACTCGGCTCGTCGAGATGTCTCTTCGACATTCCACAACATCCCGTTCCTATTATCGCTCCTGTATACGTATGTGCAATGGCTCTTTTCACCGGGGCGAACAGTGGCGGCCGCAGCGGGGGTTGGGAGGTTGACTCGAATTACCAATCGGTTGATTGGCTTAAGTGTCTCGTAGATAATATTGTGAAAGCGTAGGATGAGTCGGTCGAGCCCGACCGGCCGCGGCACGTCAATCGTGGCACTCAATTTCTCTATTATACTATACTTTTGACTTTACAGGCCATAGAGTATGCATGCGAGTAGGAGATTCGCGGAGTCTGTCGCTGAGCAGAAATACTCATTGCCGCCTTGAGAAAATTGAAATTGAGCATATCGTACGGAGTGTGTGGTTGTCGAAAGGTAAAATTGTTGTTCGTTTATCTCGCTTATTTTGTTCATTGGGGAAAGTAATCTTGAGTCAACCAACACCTTTTTATCGACGAATCATGCTCAAAGTTCCGAATGGGAGGAGAAATATCGCGAGCGATAGGCTCTCATCGGATATTATTCTCGTAAATAGCGTCGGTGATGTCGTCGTCGTTGTCGTGTTGGTGGTGGTGGCAATGGCGATGGTGTGTCATTATTTATTAATTAATCGATCGAAGGGATTCGAAGCCCTAAATAGCAATTATCGGATAATGGCGTAAATAGAGCGCCGATACAATGCCATCGCCAATATTGCAAAATGCGTGCGAAAGTAAGTAAATAAGTGTGACGATTACATCGGTATCGTCCTTGGCATTGAGATAACGGCCGAGGTAAATACGTCGCCGTCATCGTTATATTTCCATTGTCGACAGATCCGCGATTCTTAAATTCATCCGAAAATGCTATTCGTTATAATTGCGAGGGAGGAGGAGGAGAAGGAGGAGGAGATGAGAGGAGGTAGTTTGTATCGTTGGTACTTTCTAGGCCAGCAGCTCCGAGGTAATAAATCGATGATGCGTGCGACTTTGCATGCGAATGTCGCGAGAAAAGTGGCGAACGGTGCATCGAGACAATTCGACATTAAAATCAAGATTGAAAAATTGAAACGCTCGCCCTGACGTGATTGCAAAATCTATTGGAGCCTCCGTAAAATCAGGCGGCATTGTAAAATAATCAAAATACGCTTTTATAAATAAACGTGTCTCGGGCATAGTGGACTTAAGGCGTGCATTGTTAAGTGCTTGGAAAATATCGGGTAGATAAGTATAAGAGGCCCGTAATAATAAAAAAGCTCTCGCCTCGTATGTAGCCAGTTGTAAAGTATTTGTCACCTCGGTTATGTCACTCGTTTTAAATCCTCGCCCTCTTAAACGTGGCTAATGCTCGAAAAAATTCAATCTTGCGGGGCTTCGGGTTACGAGGAACCAAAGTGCAGTGTACCCTTAGGCATTGGCAAACACGTGCAAAGTCTAAACTAATAAAGTTCACGATTCCGAGATAAGGCGGCGCGGGCGCACGGCTCGAATTTCGCGCGAGTTGCGAAATGTTGATGTGCGGTCCGTGCGAAAGCGATTTTTTGAAATCGTTAGCGCGGCTTATCATTTTCTAAGGCACTGACATCAGGACTTACTACCTTGCCGATCATTAATTATCGATTCTTCGTAAAACTGTATATTAAAATAAGCAACGGCGGCGGCTACGGTTACGGTTACGGCTACGGCTACGGCTACGGCGACGGCAGCAGCAGCAGCAGCAGCAGCAGCAGCAGCAGCAGCAGCAGCAGCAGCAATATCACAATATTTCCGAAAGAAAATAATTTCCTTGCACAAACGGTTACGTATACGTCTGTTGCGTGGTTATGCAACGCGTGCCTGCAATAAATGCATAATATGCTCTCCTCGTCGTAAATTGTTTCAACCGACAGACTTTTGACAGATGCATTTTAGCGAAATAAAGCAGCTGTTAAGTAATATATGCCGAATAAGCTTATTAATGGAGCAATTGTTACCTTATAGCTTAGTTTATTAAATATTCTAACGTAACATTGGCATCGAAGAATATTATTTAATCTTATGATTAAATAGCCTATATGAACGAACAAAATTTTCACGATTCTTTTGACTTTTAAATACGCATATTTTTAATCGGGCTTGTGTCTCACCTTTTTCAATTCAAATGTGCCCGGAAGTTCATTTGTAATATTAATGTCACAATCGTCGAATATTAAATTGGACGAGGCTCAAAAAAAGGCATCGAAATACTTTTATAAGATATTATTATTTTTATCTCGACGATTATATATCGTAATAAATAGGAGACTTGTAACTCACTAAAGGTAGCTCTTGTATCGCTTATGACCGCTTTACCAAACTAAGATTGGCCATAAAAATAATTTTCAATTATTAATTGTTAAATTATACTTGCACGTTTAAATATAAGCGTGATTATAATGAAATATATTGTAAATTGTGTTAAAAAAAAAAAAAAAAAAAAAAAAAAAAAAAAAAATAGAAATATTTATTATTGATATTGATGTAAAAAGAAAAAATTAAAAAAAAAACAACAACAAATAAACAAACACCGAGAAGAAGTTAGAGATTATTTTTCAAAAGTTTCACACGTTGTGCGTGGTTCATGATCTTTTTTCATTTTATCGTAACTGTGAAATCAAAATAGGTTTTCTTAACTCTCTAAATAAAACGTAACGGGACTATTAAAGATTTGAAAACATTCGTCAAGGATTGTTTGATAAGAAAAAAGTTAAAGTTACGAACGATAAGCTCGAAGCTTTCTCCACTCGAATAATACAATATACATATTTTATGATATTTTTTATGCATTGGGAAACGGCTGTTTCTAATTTAAGTTTTAAGAAAGCAGTTTTGGCTTGATTCCGAAACTGCAAGTGCCACATTCATACCTCAACGGCTAAACTCATACTTTTTATGTATTCAGGTATTTAAAAGTAATATTAATCGTATGCGGTCGATTGTCACACGTCACCTACCTACTGTACAATGCCATACCTATTGTATTATTCATAAAACATTAAACATATATTTCGTCAATAATAAAAAGATTTCGTTCGATGATGCATACTTTATAACAAATATTGAAAATACACGAGTTGAATAAATGAATACAATTTCGAGTACTCGGATTAGTTGAAAATTAATTTTGTTAATTAATAATTAACTGTAACTTTATATGCTTCTTGTAAGTACTTATAATGCAACTTATCGGAATGCTGAAGGTCTTTGTAGCGGAATTTATATTGAAAATATATTCAAGCACATTCTTATTCCGTTGACGAATTTAATAAGAAATTCCATGATGCCTTTCTTTTTTAACAATAATAATAATAATAATAATAATAATAATAACAATAACAATGATAACAATAACAATGATAACAATAATAATAATAATGGTAATAATGATAATAATAATAATAACAACAACAACAACAACAACAACAACAACAACAACAATAATAGCAATAATAACGATAATAATGAAATCCCATTATATTACAAAATTAGTTCAACTTATTGTATTAACTAATGGTACATGTTTTTAAAATATCGCCCAGTTTTAAGAAAATTAAAAATAAGAAATTTCACAAAAATGCTGTAACACCGCCTGCTCTATACGATTATATATCATTTACATAATATATAGACAGCACATGACAAATGTACTTTATGAATTTTCATATATGTAAAATAAATAGGGAGTTTGGCGAATTGAAAAATAAAACGACCACGGGCTACGTAAACAATGTAGCTCGAAAGTATAATGAAGAGGCCATTGGTTTTTGGAATTTTGAGGTCGAGTTCGAGCGCTAAATACACAATCGCCAGTTACTTTTTCGCCCAACAATGTAGATGTTGCACCGAGTAAGAGAATCTGGGACTAAAACAGCCTACTACCCACACAGTTCATTCGCATTCGAACGTCAATTAAATAAATGTTAAACGTATTTGACTTGCTTATACTTTTACCTCGTTAACATATAAATCATCGACCGGTAAAGCATTGTCGAGCTTATGGGCAGTGCTCTAATTGAGGTCCCACATTTGTCGGGGAGGCGAAGAGAATTGGAAAGCCGAAAGCGTCGTTATTGTTAAGTGAGCTACCGATAAAGCGATTTTCACATTTTCACCTAATTTGCCTTTTTTGCCATTAAAATGCTAAGAAGAAGAAGAACGTACGAGGCAATTGTGGCATCATAATTTTTTTTTATCATTCATCTTGTACAACTATTTTTTATTTCGAACGGATATTTCGGTTATGCGGCTAATTTGAAATTAGAACGAATGGGTGGTATTTGCTGGGGGGGTATCGAGCACAGAAAATTTTCCACGCACTCTCGAATAAAAAGAATCGATTCACTAATCACCGAAAATAACCTCGACCTTTGTGTTCGACTTTTGTTTACAGATCCGAGGCTCCCTCGATCCCGTCAGAATACTCGAAAAACTAGCGCAGCACGTTTAGTAGGATATTTTGAATCGTTGCTTACCATAAACATTGCCCTGCAGTTCAAATAATTCATGCCAACATGGACAACTGGGATAACTGGTCGTCGATCATACGTTCCTGTGTATTAACATCCAAGACGCCGCTCACGCCCTACGAGATAAATCGTAAGTCATTGATAAACTCGACGGTAATATTTTGTTTTTAGCGCGTAACTGTCCCCGTGTTTTCTCTCATCTTAAGGTATTTATTATTTAATCAGTCAAAGGATTGAGAAGAACGCTTGATCACACTTGAAATAATTCAGACTCATACCTTCCTACCCTCATCTATAGGTATTTACCTCGCATTAACGAAGATACGAATGTATGTATTTAACGTATCTTACAATTCATTAACTTTAATTAAAAAAAAATTTTGTTCTTCGCGCGTATGGCTACGTACATGAAATATCGTAACATACCATTTGTCATAGATAAATTTTAAATAAATTTTAGATAAATTTTACATTAAAAATACAATAAAATTAAAAAAAAAAAAACAACTTATAATACAATTATATTACTAATACTTTTAGGTGACATATATACACTAGAGGGTAGAAATGTACCTTACCTCAAATTCAATTGTCGCTCTCTTGAAGAGATGCTGCAAAAGATCTCGGGTCTCGAGATAACCACGGTGCATGGGAGAATCTTGATCCAATCCGTTCCCAGCGAGGAAACCGCACATATCGCGAAAATGGTTAAGCTTCAGAGGTGGTCGAAAAAAAAATCACGAATCGTACGTATGAAATGTAATTGAAACTTGTATCGTGTGGTTGATGAAAAAAAATTTTTTTTTTTTTTTTTTTTTAATTCTAATTTATATATTTATTAGCTTGTACATTTAATTTTATTTAATATGCTTAAGACATTTCATATATTTATTTATGATTATAATAATTAACATACTTATTGACATATTGATTAATATATTAGCTGTTGCGTTTAATTTAATTTAATAAAGAAATATTTTTTATATATTTAAGTCGATTTGTAAATTGATACTATAGACGTACTTTTTTTTTTTTGCTTCGTTTACAACTGAGCGATTGAAATGTATTGCGTCAAACGAAATAGCGTATGGAATTTATAATCAAAATATGTTTTCGTTTTTCAGTTTCCGGCCACCTTTAATAAACACAATTCTCATGGCATACGTAACATGCCAAATAACAGGTGAACAATTTATAAATTTAACAAACATTTGTATCTTAAAATTTTGGAAGAAGGGAATTTTTTTTTTTCCAACTAATTCGGTAGTGCAATTTTAAAATAACAGTAATCGAACGGACATATAGACTCATCATAATATATCATTATAATGATAGGCTTAACTTAATAGACTTGACGCCAGTCAGTTTCAGTTAATTGAGTTCGTTTACTTTTTCTAATTAACGCATTAAATGGAATGCGATTGATATTGATATTGATATTCATATAAATTGTTGTTGATTAAACCTAACTTTAAAGGAAAATTATGTCTTACAACGTCGATGATTTTATCTCATTAGATCCAATTCATGGCATTATCAAAGAAGGTCATCGGCCACCTCTAATTCGGCATCGCATGGGACCTCGAAGAAGTCAACAATTCCCCAATCACTACCCAAACGAATGTCCTCGAGGTCACGATTCACTTCACCGACGCAACGTTTTAGTCAAGAAACGTCACCTACCCAACACAACAACACCCATTCGCGGCGCTCAAGTTCACCGTCCCAACGTGTCGTCAACTCGCATCCACAACCTTCCAATTCACCGTCAAGACACTCGAGTCTACCTTCGCAGCACACCACTCCTTCTCCACGATGCCCCAGTCCACCTTCGCAAAGTCCCAGTTCACCACCTCCGAATTTGTCGCCGAAGAATGCAAACTTGGTATCGTTACACGGGAAATCAAGCCTTTTGGGACCTGGACCGGCTTCCCCCAAGAATGCCAAATCATCGTCATCCATATCCCAAAGACTGAATATGTCCTTGACGCCACAGATCGCGCGCGCATCACCGAATTCGGTAAATTATATCGCGACGTTCGTTAGTCGCAATTTTATAAGTTTTCTTTATTCTTTTATTATTCATTTAAATTTAATGTGCTTTAAAAATTAAGTTATTAACATTTTTATTTATATATCGCGATAATTTTATTATTTATCGTGCCATTAACGAGTATGTTAAGTGAAATAATTAATTGGATGGCGTTGTTTAGTTTTTTAATTTTTTTTTTTTTTTTTTTTTTTTTTTTTTTTTTTTTTTTTTTTTTTTTTTTTTTTTTTTTGATAATGATACTTTGATCCGAACATTATTTCAAGTAGTTTATTCTTCGATATTCTATTATCTAATCTCAAATTTCAATCTTCATCGAGCATTTTGTTTTTTTTTTTTGTTTTTCGTTTTTGTTGTTGTTGTTGTTGTTGTTTTTTGTTTCTGTATTCCTTATCCCGGTAATTATTATTCGCATAGTTTTTAACCCACAAAAAAACAAAACCCGAAAAATGCTGCAAAAAATTAATTGTTAAATTGAAATTCTAAAATTGGGTGTGATATAAAACGATTTTTCGGCGATATTCCGCCGCTATACAAAGACAAATTATTTTTCAAATTAATCTAATAATAGGCATTGATTTGTTACAGCCAAGTGATTCACGTCTCCTGTTAAATAGTTATACAGAATCTAAGAAACTGCCTTTGCCAATATATAAAGACTTACCGACTAAAAATAAGTTTATATATTCGTCAGTTACCGTAAGTGCCATTCGCAATACTTTAACATTATTCATAAACAAATGAAAAGAAATGAAAATCAATAAGAAAAATGTAATTCATAGTTGTCTCCTTAAAGTTGAAGCACTCAATTTGCATTATACATTTACAATCGTAATATTCAACGAGAATAATAAACAATAGGCAATTTTAACGCTACTTGCAGGTAAATTCAAAAAAATACAGCTCTTATCCGAAAGAGGCCAAAACAAAAGAAGAAGCTGAAAAGCTCGCAGCGAAAGCAGCTTTAGATGATTTACTCGGTCAAGGTACGAAGCCAGCATCAATAACGATCGACAATAAACTGATCGAGACGAGGATATTGAAGATCGTTAATGATTATCCTAATGGCTTATTCGAATCGAGCGTTGTCGAGTGTTACACGAGAAAATATAGCGAAAGATTGCCGGATTATTGGCTACAATTGGTCGAACAGTTCGTCACACTCGAAGTCGGGGCGAACAACTTAACTATTTTAACTCCCCAAAATAAATCACAGGCTCCCGTGGCCTTGAAAACTGTTATCGAGCCCAAAATACTGAGGTTACATAACATGGAAGAATTTTGGCTTCACATCTACGTCGTATACAATATCATGGAGATCTGGGGAGTCATCATCGACGAAAATCACAGCGTAAGCATTATATAATATTTCATCAAAGTAGAAAACCTACCGACAAAATACAGTGGACACTTACCATTTAAAACTGAAACGATAAAATAGGACAAAATCGACGAACTGGCTAAGGAAATGAAGAAGTATTACGATACGCAAGCAATTGACACACCGGAAGCCATACCCGGCAAACACTACGCGGTCTTCGATTCCGAGTGGCACCGCGTGCGTTGCATCAGGGTCGACGAACGTAGCCAAATGGCCTGCGTCTTCTTCGTTGATCGCGGAGACGAGGACTTGTTCCCAGCCAGGCGACTTCGAGCTCTTTGTCCGAAATTCTGCCAGCTCCCGGAACAGGCGGTGCGGCTCTCGCTGGCCGGCCTCGAGATCTTCCGCGATTGCGACGAGGCGCAGACCATCCTCGAGGATCTGCTCGTAGACAAGGACGTGTACGTGAGGTGCGTCAATCACGACCAGCAGTGCACGAATGCTCTATCAGCGCAGCTTTATCTCGAGAGGGACGACAACGAGATCGACGCTAACGAGCTTCTTCAAAACGAGATCATCAAGAATATCGTCGATCCGACTATTCACATGAAATCCGTGAGCTTTTATAAGGATCATTCTTACTCAGTGCCTAACACTTTCCCCAAACATGCACTATCTGCAATAAAATGTTTTACAATATTAATGAATAACTCGATACGTACAACTTTTTTTATTATTTATTGTTAAACTTAGATGATTTATTCTCTCATTGACAATTCATTAAATGCAGGAGAGAGTTTTAGAAGAAAATATGCTTATGCACGTAATAGCAAAGCAAAATCTGTTCAACAACAGACTTTTCACAATTTACTTATCACAATTGTTTCTCTATAAACGCTGAGATACACGTGAGTTTTTGTTCACTGTTGCAGAAAGTCTAGGAAAAACAATCCTTTCCCCTTCGTCCTAATCAAAATACTCAACGCGATTCTCCTCCTCATTACTTCTCTCTCTCTCTCTTTCTCTCTCTCTCTCTCTCTCTCTCTCTCTCTCTTTATCGATCTGTCATCACTCCCCTAGCCTCGATGTTTACACATATCTTTCTATATGCGAAATGGTAGCTTTCAATGTACAAAAATTAATAAATTTAAGAAAATTTTTTTAGCTTTTATACGAATTATAGTATCAAAAATATTATTACATTTATTTAAAAAATAATTTAGACAATTTACAAAATCATCAAGTATATTATTCATTATTTAAATTTATCAGTTATATTTATTACCTATTCAAATGTACAAAAGAATAAACAAAAAATTTCTGTCCATATAAACTTAGTCGATTCATTAACGATTACTTTTTTTTTTTTTTTAAATTAAATTTTAATTTGACCATATCTAAAACCGTTTGTTTAATTATAATTTTGCGGATAAGATATTAAAGAACATACATGAAAGCACAAAATAATAACGAACGTTATTGATCATCTGATTAAATGAAATTTAATTTTCCTATACGTTAACTATAAAGCAAAAATTTTATATAATTTTGTTAAAATTGTTATTATGTAAATTCATTTACCGAAAAAATATTAATAAAATTTATATGTCATATTATGGACTTTAGAGATATTATATTGCGATTGTAATAGTAATAAAAAAATCTGCCAGTTTAACGTCAGTATATTTACAGAATTACATAAGGTATAATAATTTTTATAATTATAAATACTGTATTATAGTTATATGGGAGTAAAACTATTTCTAAATGCTTAAAATTTTTAGAAATATTAATAATTTAATCAATGAAATTTGCCTATCGGTAAAGTTATATACTTTTTTTTTTTTTTTTTAGGACAAAATTGCTCAAGACGTTTTTATTTCATCAATTAACGAAAAAGCAGTCTTCATACAGTTAAAGTCAGAAGGATTAACATATCTCAAGATGCTAATGAACGAATTAACCAAAGAATATTTAAATAATCCTTCTTTTAAAGCAAAACCAATTTTGCAATTTGATAAAACGAAACTTTATTTGGTCAAAAGTACCGAGGACAATAATTGGTACAGAGTGAAAATTACGAAAATTGAAAATGATATTAAAATACAAGTATTTTGTATCGACGAGGGAAATACGTTGGCTGTTAAAAAAACAAGTTTAATTCTATTGGAAGATATATCGGATTTATTAGCCGTATATCCGAATCAGGTAAATAAATATTAAACTTATAATTCAAATATATAATAATCAAGTGAACAAACATTATAAAATTCATAAAATTACTAAAATTGCCTTAAATTCTAAGATTTATTTTAACATTTTATTTTAACGTCGCACACAAATACAATAATATAATTAATATCGAATTTAGATAGAACTAATAGAATTCAAATTTAATACTAAATATAACATTATTGTTTTTTGTTTTACTTTCCAATTGTTCAATCTACAATTAATAATTCCAATTGCTCAAAGATACTACGAATATGCATATTAATAAAATTAACTTTAAATTTCTATCCCATCGATTTTCCTTATCGACCTTTAATATTAATATTAATTTGTTAAGCTTATTTAGCTGTACAAAATTATGAATTTTGTCTCACATTCTGATAAATCACCGAATTAATTGTACATTTTTTGCATTTTTTAGGCTGTGCAAGTACGTCTTCATAAAATTTCACCAATAATGTTTAATACGAAGATGGTAAATCATTTGCGCGATTTAGCGCCAAAAACGGACATTTTTTACATGAAAGTTATCAATAGCGTCGATAACATTCCGATAGTCGAATTTTACAAGAGGACAGAAAAAAATTATTTAGCTTCACTCAACGACACATTGACACTCGAGCCTGAAATAATGTAAGCTCTGTGGATAAAAATTTCTATAAGATTTTTTTTTTTCTTACGCACACATACATAATCACAATCGAATAATATGAAATTAATTTTCTCAAACGAATTTTACCACAATAATTATTCATTATTTTTCCTTAACGTTTGCAGCTCAAAGGACGATAATAATAATGCAAAACCAAATGCCAGAAATGATAGATCGGTAATGGATTCGCGTTCTGAATTTCCACTGAAAGCGCCACACATTCCTGCGATTAATTCATACTTCGATGTCTATATTGTAATGGCAGCTCATCCAGGTAATTTTATAGTACAGCCACTTCAAAGCATACGTGAACTGAAGGTAAGCTTTCCCTTTAAATATATTTATTTTCATTTTAATGCCTATTACTAATGTTTATTGTTAATTTTTAATGATATTAATTGTTTATATTTGCCAGAAATTGATGTCAGATTTGTCGGATGTTTGCGAATCATACACTGGTTCCCCTATTACGCCGGGTAGCGTAAAAGTTGGAAGCATGTACGCAGTGAAATATGACGATGGAAAATGGTATCGGTAAGCTAGTAAACTAAATTTTATGTTAAAATGTTGATTAAGTAAAAGAAATTTCTCATGGATTACGTATTGTAAAAACAATATCTAATTGTATCTTGGAAATATTTCAATACGTAAGAAAATTTAAATATTAACAAATTATTATATTACGCATACGACATTATATTTCATGCTTTTAGTGGTTACGTATCACAAATTATCGCCAAAAATATTTGCGCGATACATTTTTGTGATTACGGCGATTACAGAACTGTATTTCTGGAAAACTTACAACCACTGCAAAATCAGTTTTATGATTTACCATATCAAGCTATTAGAGCTAAATTATTCGGTAAGTATTACATTAATATTATTTATGACCTACTCGCTATCTGTAATAATGAGCTTAATCATTATTTTAGGTGTAGAGCCGAAATTAAAGGGCGATTGGACAGTTACAGATTCGTTGCGCTTCAATGACTTAGTTGTGGCGAAAACCTTTGTTTCTGTCGTTCAGTCTTGCGATATACAAAATATAAAAACTAGTGAAATAATTTTAGGATTAGAATTAATAGACACAAGTACAGCCGACGACATATATATTAGCAATATACTTGTTGATGAAAATATAGGAGTCAAAGTTGAGAAACTTAAAGCCTGAAAAGCGAAATGACAATAGTATTAATAAATAAGTTATATTGATATAAAATTTTTCTATTTTTTCAATGGAAAAAGTATAGCAAATGCCTGGTTTGGATATATAATCTACTTAGATGTAAATTATAAATATCCTCTAACGGGCTGTAAAATATATTTTTCTATTTAAGAATTCAACAATAATTCTATTCAATAAAAATTTTTTTCATTTTTATTACTTATATATAATTCTTAGCCATTTGATATACGTAATAAGAATGTTTAAAATACTTGAGAAAGATGACCGTTATTAGAAAGTTCTTAGATATGAATAATAAGATAAAAACGTTGTTATTTAATAACTTATGTAAATATTTAATTAGTTAGGATTGAAATTCAATAATATGCAAAATATGCAATCTATGCATCTTAACAAACATCATTCGTCATAAAGTGAAATTAATATAATTAAATTAATAGTTAATATAAACTTTGTAATTTGTGAAAAGTTCGTGTTTACAATAATTCTGACATTTTGCATATTATTTAATATATTAAATTATATAAACAAAAACAAAAACAAAAACAAAAACAAAACAAAAAAAAACAAAAACAAAAAAATAAAAAGAGAAATAATGAAAATCTTTAAAAAAAATGTATTAATAAAATAGCATGAATTATTTTTCAACCAAAAATTAAGGAAAAAAGTAACATTGATAGTCTATCAATACATCAAGTATTTATATTATATTATATGCTTTTGTTATGTAATTGCATAAAAAAATATTTTTACTTTAATACTATTAGTAAAAAATTTAGTAGTTAAAAATAATATTCTACATCTGTACTTTTAATTTATTAACGTAATGACTATGCTTTAAAAACAATATTTCTAACATCAAATGCTCTAATATAAATTTTTATTTGAATATTATGAAAAATTGAATATACACACACACACACTATATAATTGTACATGTGTCATTATTGATACAAAAATTTTTTATCAATTTCAATTTTGTTTATGAAAATGAAAACGTTGCTTATATATTTTTTTATTTGTTAAATATAGACTGCGATAAATGTCATCGGAATTAAATGAAAGTTGGGACAATCAAATAGCACTTTCACAATTGTTATTTAAAAAAATTTGTTGTATATTTATAATATCAAACTTATTATTTTATTTTCACTTATTTATTTTGGCAACGAGTTCAGTATAATATATAATTGAATATTTAGTGTCATTAAAAACGACTGAGATTAATGCTGTTATAGTGTTAAACATACGATATTGATTTTATTTAACAATAAAATTATTTTTATTTATTTTTTTCTTTTAATATTTATTCTGTAATATATATTTGCTTCAAATTATGCAACTCTTCGATGAATTAATTATTTATTCAATATATTTAATTAAATAAGTGATATATACTTGGTTCTTGGCAATAGATTGTAAGATAAATCGTAAAGGATAAAAAAATAAAATAAATATTAAAAGGAATATAAAAAATTGTTACTAATTTAGGATTAAATAAAAATTTTAAAGATAATATTCGAAGGCGGAAATTTAAAAAAGAAAAAACATCGCTGCAGATATGTAATAAGCTGAATATAAAGGCTGAATAGTCTTTTTTTTGTATTATCGGTATTTTTCTGAATTCCAATGATTATTGATATTTCTCTAAGGACCAATTGTTATTATTAAGTAAACTAATTACGTTTTATATTAATGCGTATGCGATGAGAATCTATGAAATTGTATACATACATATGTACAAGTATATACAATTAATATAACCAGTCGTTTAGTAAAACAGAAAACTGAAAAAAAAGTGACTCTCTTTAGATGCTACTGGGTATCGGTAAGTCTTGCTTTCATAATTAATGCTAAGCTGATCTAAGATACAGGTACTATAGACACTCTTTTCTAAGTAATTTTTTTTTCTTTTTTCTTTCATATTATAAGCGCTGTATCGTACGAAATCCAACTCCCAAACTGAATTACATATGCAACAAACAAAATAATATTTTCTGTGTAACGATTAATCTATATCTATAGATTATAGTATGATCAATTAAGCGTTTTCAATATAATTTTAAATTCATGTGTTTGCGTTAATAAAATTAATAAGACAATGAGGCTTATATAATGTGTGAAAATAAAAGAGAATGAAGTGCAACTAATACAATTTAGAATACTACAAAATTATAAAATTAAATTATAAATTACTATTATTATTTGGTTAAATATTGCATTCAATATTATTATATCACATACACTGTGTGAAATTTAACATTTCAAAGCGATTTATCTACTTTCATTATAAAAATTCAGAATTCGTTATAATTATTATATAATAAATAATAGTAAAATTCTAATATTTGTATGACGAATATATCTAGTAGAAGTATGTATTTGCAAATATAAGTGCAAGATAACAATATTTATGATTTTTTTCTTATTATTAGCTTGAAAGTACCGTTCAATATAACGTTAATAAAACTCATGTTCTTAATCAATATATATATATATATATTACAAATTATGTTTTAAGATTTTAGTAGCCAAACAATCGTAAATTCGAATCGGACATCGTTAATGTATAATTGACTTGTGACCAATAAAATGAAAGATGATTGTAAAAAGCATTTAAAATTTATTCTTTAACTTAATCGTATAAAACTGCCGTAAAAAAATTAATATCAAAATATACATGTTATATCAACTTGTTATTTAAGGATATATTGACTCTTGTTAATTACAAAAATACTGATCCATTTATGTCCAAATATTTTAAGAAGAACGTCGATTAAAGTAAATTACTAAGAACGGAGACTAAAGTTATTATAAGACAATTGTAGAGCATTGATAACTTAAGGATCTTGAAATACTTGTTTAAGTAATATTTACCGTTAATAAATTATTCGTACAATTAAAGATTTTTCAAATAATAAAAATATAAATAAATAATCTAATGTTTTTGATAATAGTATTAGAAAAAATATTTGTTCGATTATTAGCTTTTTAACTATTAAATTAATAGAATAAATAATAGAAGATATAATAGAATTAAATTATTGTTAATTTTGTCATATAATATTGTTGCTTAAATATACTTTATACGTGCACGCTTTAGCCCGATGTTATTGAATATATTTGCTTCTTCAAGTAATAATAAAACTACTTAATTTCTTAAAAATAGAATATTTATAAAATGTGCGAAAGGCGTACTCCTTCTTCTTTATAACTTTATTTACCTCCTGTTTATTGCTAATATAAAAAAAATGTTAGATACATATTAAACATAACGCAATCTAATAGTAAAACATAAATTTTTTATTGTTAAATTGGTAACACAAATCGTATGCCATTGTGCTACAAACATTCTAGGAGAAATTTTACAAATTTTTGTACGTTAAAGATTATTTTCACGAATTCTTACATATTAAACTTGTTTATTAGATTATATGATTGATTTACTGATGTTAACGTTATTTATACCTACATTCGTACGAAAAATTGCAATTATAAGTCTGAATGTCCGTATGAGTTAAGATTGAACGAAACATTTATCAAGTTTTTAAAAAAATGCTGAAACACATAGAATTATAGAAGTAAATGTTTATATGGGATATATTATAACGTGGCATATATATATATATACATATATATATATATATATATATATATATATATATATATATATATATTATCGATACAATAACATTTAAGAATTATATTTTTAATAGATATTTTTTATATTAAAAAATAACCATTAGACGTAGGATATTTCATAATACTGTTAAGTGGATCTGTTGAAGTCTATCGGACAAAATTAATTAAGCCAAATTATTTTAATATTATGGAAAAACTGCAGTAGATTATGAGTATAATTTGAAAAACAACATATTACATTTAATTACTTTGATAATTACCTGATATACTTTTTATCACAAAGTGGATAGCAGCAACAATAATTATCACATAAAAATACTGCACATGTTTATTTTATATCAAACTACTTGTTACACAATAATGAAAATAATCGCGAACATTATTATGGAATATAATACATGAAAATTATAGCTATGATGATAATTATTATAATTATATTGACATAAGGTTTAATAAATTACATGAAAAAGGCCACTTACATAATCGATACAATCAACAAATTCAATTAAAATGGGAATATATATATATATATATGAATGGAGGTAATCAATGTTATGAAAACTAGTAGCGTTAAAATAATGATACCACATGAATGCATTTTAAATCATAAAATTATTAGTTCTAGTCATTGAATAGATTTTCTCACAATTAACTGATATGTAAAAAAAAATCCAAAAAATCGGAAAAATATTAATAGAACAAAATACATTATTTCGTATTTATTAGAATATATTATTTCCATTAGCAATAAAATAAAAAACAATTGAATAAAATAGCTTGCTAACATTTTTTTTTATTTTTTTTTTTTATCAAAGACCATATGATTCGTTAATATAAATGTGAAATTTCACGAATATATTACAGGAAAAACAACGTAATTTAGATAATCACTTTAAAAAAAAAAATAATAATAATAAATAAAAAAAAACGATGATTTTGTTGGTACGAGATTTATAGTTGGATTGAGTAAGGAAAAATCCTATAATAATTTCCTCCTTCGTCATTTCTTTTTTACGTTTCTAACTCTAATATTATTTACTCTATTATTCATCAATATATAATATATTTCCAATCTCAACGACAACAAAAATTCTGCACTCATAAATAGTAATGCATAGCCTATTCGACAATTAAAGAATATATCGAAACGTGTAATTTAGTATTTAGAGAATAATTTTCTTAAAGCATTTGATTTAAGTACATAAGGTTTTTATTCGTATTAAAACGCACAGATAATAATAATTATAAAAGGGTTGGGAGGACAAAAGCCGAGGCTCTTCGTGCCGCAGTCTTTACATGGAAGTAAGGTAGAGTCATCAATCTTATAATTTCATTTTGTTTTCATAATAAAGAGAGACATGTATTCAATTGTTATATTATTATTTATGGAACCTTATATAGACGGGAGATGACTACTCAATATTCATATAAATACAGGCCACTGATTATTGAACGTTATAGTATATTTTAATAAAATCTAACGAATAATTCACAGATACAATATACTTGCT